ACATTTATATATGATTCAGGCCGAAAATATCATTACAAATATGTAGGATAGATTGTAAACTACCCAAGGAACCCATACTGCCTACTGCCCTGAGGGTAGGGGATGGGTAGAAGGGATATAGTGAAAATATGAGTTGACCCAGCATTAAAGTCCTACCACTGCTCAACTAACCATTTTCGATGCTTTGGGTCTTTGAAGTTTCCCACACTCAATTTCTTACCCATTTCACTTCCTCAGTACTCAATTCTTGGTTGATTTGTCTGTAAATTTATGTCTATGATACTTAAGATATTTGAAATGTACCCCAGGTTTCTGATTATGAAGATTCAATGTTTTGAAGGCATGGGCCCCTTATCAGGCAAAATGGCAAGTATGCACACTAGCTCACAAACTCCAGCCTATTGTGAGCTGATCTTGGTCATAAGAAGCAAGAATATAAGCTATGCTCATTATATATTAAAAGGTTGGATCATGGATGCAAGGGCAAGATACTGAAAATTGTGAAAAAATGTCACAAGTGCAATTGTCTATGCTTTGTTCCTGGAGAAGGATCCTGTGTGTCCTGGGCTGGTTATATGATATATCTACTCCGAATATGCTCAGGAATAGACTCCCTATAGTCCTTGAGGTCCAGCTTTACAGGGAAAAACCCCCAGCAGGTGAACCACCAGAAGAGGGGGAGGTACACTATACAATAAAGGATTACCCTATGGTCCTGAGCTCCTGATACATTGTTTCTATTGTTGAATAGATGATTGAGATATAATTCCAAAGTCTGTTCACCTAGAAATGAACACATAGGAACATATTTTGTATTTTTATGTATATATGCAATATCCATTTAAGCACCAAGTCTCAACTACCGATTACCAAGTCCCGACACTTGATAGTTGATAGTCAGTATTTGAGCTCCGAGTGCCAATATTGCCTACCAATATCTCAGTCAAATGATAACCAAACCAAGACCCAAGTTCCAAACCTGACTACCAAATACCAAGTATCAGTACTCGGGACTCGGGACTATTGGCTGGAGTACCCAGCTATTGATTCCCAGGTACCGAGAATTAGAACCAAGTACCAAGTACCTGACTACTGATTCTCAGGTACCAAGTATCAGAACCAAGTACCAAGTACCCAACTACTGATTTGAAGTACCGGGTTTCGGGTTTCGGCACTCAACACTTGGTGATTTGTGCAATGAGTAGATGGGCATGTGGCATACATGTTTTTGGGCTTCAGGTTTTAGGATTCTGCCCTTGGCACTCAATGATCTGTGTAATGTAAATGAACAATGAAAATGTTGCACACCGGGTTTCGAGTTTTGGGTTTCGGCACTTGAAACTCGGTGATTTGTGCAACAAGTGAAAAATGGAAATGTTGCATACATATTTTCAGGTCTTGGGGTTCGGGTCTCGGCCCTCAGCACTCGGAACTCAATGAATTGTGTAATGTACATGAAAAAAAAAATGGACATGTTGCACACTGGGTTTCAAGTTTCACGCTTTGGCACTCGAAACTCGGTGATTTGTGCAGTGAGTGAAAAATGGACATGTTGTGTACATATTTTTCGGGTCTCAGGCTTTGGGTCTCAGCCCTCGGCACTCGGAACTCGATGATTTGTGTGATATAAATGAAAAATCAACATGTTGCACACTGGGTTTCAAGTTTCACGCTTTGGCAGAACTTGAAGTTGTTGATTTAGATATCACCCGAAACCTGAACACCTGAATGTCAAATTTTCAGTGCCAAACCCCCAACCCTGACTGCCGGGTGCCGGGTGCCGAGTCCCGAAGCCCGGAACTCAGGATTTGACATTTGAGATGAACGAAATTTTTCAGACATGTTTGAATTAACCTCCGTATATCTATAAACATTTCACTAACCCCTGAACCCTGAAAGATATTTTTGTTGTCTTACATACCAAATTCCGAGTTCCGAGTTCCGGGACCCCCGAAACCCGGCAGTCCACAATTTCGGAGTTCGGGGGTTGGTAAAATGTGTATGGATATATGAAGGGTTGGTTTAAACATTTTAAAAGATGTCTCATATCAAATGTCAAGTCCCAAGTTTCGATTTCCGGGTTTCAAGAGTGCTGAGTCCCGAAGCCCAGAGTCCCGAAACCCAGAGTCCTGAAACCCGGAAATCAAAACTCGGGACTTGACATTTGATATGAGACATCTTTCAGAAATGTTTCAATCAACCTTTCATATATCCATACACATTTTACCAACCCCTGAACCCTGAAATTGTGGACTGCCAGGTCTCGGGGTTCGGGGTTCGGGGGTCCCGGAACTCGGAACTCGGGAAATTTGGGGAGATCAATAAAATTTGATTTACCCATGTTTAAAATATATTTTTGTTCTACATACCAAGTTCCGAGTTCCGGACCCCCGAACCCTGAGACCCGGCAGTCTCGGGTTTCGGGGTTCGGGGGTCCCAGCACTCGGAACTTGGGGAGATTTGGGGAGATCAATGAAATTTGATTTACAATTGAGTTGATTGGCAAACACATTAAATTGATAGAAAGTATGCCTTGGAGGGTAGCAGCAGTCATTAAAGCTAAGGGAGGAAACACTAAGTACTAGAATTATAGAGATTATGTATAATTGATTCAAACTCAAAAAAGTGTCCCAATGAGTCACCTAATTAAAATAGCCATATCTTCGCACGGCGTCAATGGATTCTCACGCTATAGGGGACATAATTGTAGCCGAGAAGCGGAGCTTTTTGGGACCTCCCTTTGACTTAGTCGGATTCTCACACCCTGGCTCGCAATAACACAATTACATGAAAACCTACAAACATTGGGACACTTTTTTGAGCCACTGTACTGAGTTCCGAGTTTCGAGTTCTGGACCTCCGAACCCTGAAACCTGAGACCCGGCAGTCCACAATTCTGGGGTTCGGGGGTTGGTAAAATGTGTATGAATATATGAAAGGTTGAATGAAACATTTTTGAAAGATGTCTCATATCAAATGTCAAATCCCGAGTTTCAACTTCCGGATTTCGGGAGTGCCGAGTCCCAAAACCTGGAGTCTTGAAACCCGAAATTCAAAACTCGGGACTTAACATTTGATATGAGACATCTTTCAAAAATGTTTCATTCAACCTTTCATATATTCATACACATTTTACCAACCCCTGAACCCCAGAATTGTGGACTGCTGGGTCTCAGGTTTTGGGGTTGGGGGGTCCAGAACTCAGAACTCGGTATGTGTAAACAAAAATATATTTCAAACATGGGTAAGTCAATGTGTTTGTCAATCAACTCAATTGTACATCAACTTTTATTGATCTCCCCAAAATTTCCCAAGTTCCGAGTTCCAGACACCCGATAACTGAGATGTACCAACCCCCGAACCCCAACACCCGAAACCCGGCAGTCTCGGGTATTGGGTATCAGGTGTCCGGAACTCAGAACTTGGGGAAAATTTGGGGAGATCAATACAATTTAATTTACAATCGAGTTAATTGACAACACATTGACTTAATCATGTTTGCAATATATTTTTGTTTAGACATACCGAGTTCTGAGTTCCGGACACCCGATACCCGAGACCCGAGACTGCTGGGTTTCGGGTGTCGGGTGTCTGGAACTCGGAACTTGGGAAAATTTGGGGAGATCAATACAATTTGATTCACAATCAAGTTGATTGACAAACACATTGACTTAACTATGTTTGCAATATATTTTTGTTTAGACATACCGAGTTCCGGACACCCGATACCCGAGACCCGGCAGTCTCGGGTTTCGGGGTTCGGGGGTCCAGAACTCGGAACTCAGTATGTCCAAACAAAAATATATTGCAAACATAGTTAAGTCAATGTGTTTGTCAATCAACTTGATTGTGAATCAAATTGTATTGATCTCCCCAAATTTTCCCAAGTTCCGAGTTCCGGACACCCGAAACACGAGACCCGGCAGTCTCGGGTTTCAGGGTTCGGGTGTCCGGAATTCAGAACTCGGTATGTCTAAACAAAAATATATTGCAAACATGGGTAAGTCAATGTGTTGTCAATCAACTTGATTGTAAATTAAATTGTATTGATCTCCCCAAATTCTCCCAAGTTCCGAGTTCCGGACACCCGATACCTGAGACCCGGCACTCTCGGGTTTGGGGGTTGGTACATCTCGGTTTGGGGTTTGGCACTGAAAATTTGACATATATATATTTGTGAGTGTTGTGCTTCTGGTGTCCATGCTTAGAAATAGGATTTGTTGCACACCAGGGTTCAGGTGTGGGGTTTTTCCACTTCAGTCCTGGATTATTGGTCAATGCCACACATGATCAATTCATGTTTTTGTGCTTAGGGGTTTAGATTTGGTGGTTGATGGTAGGTATATGCACTCATAGTGTACATGTATCCTATGTGTTTGATTCGCTGGTGGCTACATCAGCTGTATGTCTTGATGGAACATATCTAGGCTCACCCATATATGTAATACACCCCCGTCGGCCCGCCCGTCTATGTATTATCCCCCACGTCGGCCAACCCATCTATGTAATACATCCTATGTTGGCCCACCCGTCTATATAATACATCCTACATCGGCCCACCCATCTATATAATTATACCCCACCTCGGCCCACCTGTCTATGTAATAAATATTTTATTGCACCCTCAGCCCACCAGTCTATTTGATATCCCTCTCGTCAGCCCACCCGTCTATGTAATATTTCCCTACCTCGGCCCACCCATATATGTAATACACCCATGTCGGCCCACCCATCTATATAACAATATTTGCCTTACATCTCTCTTTAGCCCAGCTGTCTATAATATCCTACTCTACATATTACCTAGATGGGCCCACCCATCTCCATGAATGATCATATTCCCCTGGCCCATCCGTCAACATTAAGGATATATATATCATTGGCATACATGGGCCCACCCGTCTCCATCGGAAATAATATGTGTCCCGGCCCATCCATCATCATCGAGAATATACACAACATGGGCCCATGATCAGCTGGCCCGTATAATATGGAATTTGTCACTGAAGGGGCTCGTATATGTGGTCTCCAGCATTCGTCACAAGGACTGAGTACCAATGATACGCGTTACTGAAGCGGTGACGAAGATTGTCCTGAAGATGCTGGAGTTAGCTTACTTCAAAAAAGAATCGTGCAGGCAGACCTTGGTAGAAAGTTTGTAACCCCGAGCTGTTAGAAAAACTTCCAATGCTTCACACCAGGCTGTTGTATTGGGGGTGATCCATACAAAAAGAGTCCTAACGAGCTCTAGTACATGTAGGTCAACAGCAAGAGATGGAGCTATGGGTGCACATGCAAATAGCCCAAACTTAAGAAGTTGAAGGGGTGCGGGTGCGCAGGGGCAGCAGTCAATGTTCAAAACCTCTAAATCTGGACTACAGTCAATTTGAGCCACATAACAATATGGTGAGTTCGTACAATTGAAAAAAAACACGAGTCACTTCTAAAGTCCTCCTGTGGCATGAAGCCGTACACTCGACAGGATCATTTTGAAGTGCAGGTTGATGACAGAGCGAAGAAGATTTGTATTGATATGTGAGGTATGGACCAATTAGCGAAGGAATCACTTCGTTTGACCAGCATTGCCACTGATTGAATTTTTTCTGCCGCCCATTGGAACAGAGGGATCAGAGAAGAAGTGGACATTGTCATAAAACAAAGGCCTGTCCTGGTCAATCGGATCAGGAGGTGGGACATCAAGCCGAGGATTGGAATTGGAAGCAGTTTGTTGGGCGAAATACCGCCTACCCGGAAGTACTAGAACTGGAGGAGGACCTGGAAGATGAAATGTGTTGCTTCCTCGTGGTTTCCAGTGCTTCTTGACCATGGACAGTGTGATTAATATTTGCTGTGAATGACGACGGACAGGAGTTGCAGGAGTAGACGTGGAGGCAATATTCCATGGATGTGGTCCTCCATCCATGGTAGATGTTTCTGATAGGCACAAAGCCTGCAAGAATATTGTGACTGACTCGAAGTCAGTCAACAAGCACAGAGGAACACAAAGTCCCAGTTCATATGACCTATGTACCAAAAAATTAGTAGATACTAGCCTGGGAGGAGGATAATGGTCATGAATGCCAGTGATCAACAAACAGTGAATAGCACCGGAGCAACAAGTCAATAGAATTCACCAACAGAAATTGTACATGAAAGAACCACACTGCATAGCAACTCACATCAACGAACAAATACAGAAGCGAACAGAAGCGAGTGTAAATCGTCTATGGACCCGCGTAAAGTATATGAGGGACCATGGGGGGGCGACCTGTGTTGTCGTAAAATGATTGTACATAAAACAGGGCACATTGCTTCATGCATTGCCACTTCTCTCCCTCGGGCATCGACTCGGTGAAAGGCTGTTTGAGATCTTGAGGAGCACCGTCCCATGCGATCAACACTTGACGAAAATTCTCGAAATATAAAAGAGCATCCTGGAAAGACTCAGCATTAAGTCCATCATTCCGAGTCGAAAAATCCTTATCCCACATGCTGAGGAAAAATTCCACAGAGCAACTCCATGTGACGCTTCTTCGCCTCCCGATCCAGCCGCATATGACCGGCAAGATGTTCATCGAGTTCCAGAAGGTCGTATTGGAAGCTTTGCTCGCAAATCTCATATATGATCTGTTGAATGAGATGATGCGGCGGATTCTCGAGCATTGCTGCTTCAATTTTCTGACCCCTCCATTGCAACATCTGGGATCCAGTCCAAAACTGGTGTAGGAGCGATAATTCATCTCCAAAGAACAGGTTGAGTTTGGCTTTGGACTTGCCAGTCTTGCCTGATGGCATCTGACTACTTGACGACGAGGGCTGTGGTGTTGTTGGCTGTGTGATCAATAGATCACGCCAGCTTTGGGACCGAGGGAGCGGAGATGGAGGCGACATATAAACATGCCTCAGCCACGACTCACGGCATGCCAACCAGTTAGCGAGATATTTCTTCAGAGACTGCGAGGAAAGGACATTGACAAATAATCCATGATCGGGGAGCCTGTATCCCTCATCCATTCTTGCGTGGGTTGGCTTGACACAACTCAAATCTTTGTCCGCGGGAGTCATAGCCGATGTGAAGAAGGTGTTGATGTTGGGCATGAACGGGTGAGCCACATCGCACCATTTGTCATGTCCAACTTGAGACTGGTTCTGGCGCAGAGCGGTCGGTTCATCTAGATAATTGTTAGATAAGAATGGTGAACCGAAATTAGACACTGCACTCACATACTGCGGACTTATTTTTCATGGTCTTGGTGGGCGCTTTACCCGATGACGGCTCTCTGGAAGCTGCAAAGCGATTGACTTCGGTTTGATCCATAGGGATCTCTTCAAAAGTAAGGTACAGTTGACGAACCGCTGTTACGACGTTAAGTCGTGTGCGAACTGGGATGATCTAACAGCGACGATCATGACAGTGATATCACGTGCTGAGAGTCCAAGGTCGGCTTCCACAGATAAGCGGAAGTTGCGTACGCTTGCGGAAGCGAGCAATAATAGTGGTTTACAGACAGAAGGGTTCTCTGGTCCTTCCGAAGGTGCGGATCTGATGTCAAGCAGGTAGCTTTAGCAAGACAAAGGTTTCGAGGCAAAACCCAGTAGGATTAAAGTAAGGAACATCTACTTTAATCGTCGACCTTATATAAGGCTACTCTATCGTATCTAAGCTCAGCTTGAAGCTGGGTTCTAATCTGCTTATCTATTGAGTCAGAGATACCATGCATGAGGCAGGCTTCTATCTATGATGAGGACCGCGAGGCGTCCTTCTATCAGTACATGAGGCAACACGAGGCTTGCCTTCTATCTTGATAACATAAATAGGTCTTCTAGACCTATGTCGTCATATGTTCATCATAGCGGTCCAGACCGCTTATCTAAGCCGGCATCTTCCGGGCTTCTCTTCTATCTGTCATCTGTCATCAAGGCCTAAAGGCCCAGTTATTGTGTCATTGCCGTGCGAGGTGGCAGAGGGCTGGTCGAGTAGCTGGGGGCTCACGTAGTGACTGTAACAACCGCAGCCTGGCATTGATGATCACTTGGACCCTTGTAACGGATATCGAAAGGTTGAGCGAAGTTCTTAATGGGATGGAGGTACATCCCAAACACAAGGTCGGCAGGAGTGAAGGGAATGACTTGGCGGATGTTAATCTTATCATCGACGAGCCTGACATCTTGTATCAACCACACAGGTACACCAGCCTTGTGGAGCCTCAACGCGATAGCGGAGTCTTTGGTGAAGCACCCCATCCAAGTCTTGTTGACCCTGTGCACTTTGTCCTCAAATTTCAACCATGGCTCAAAGATCTCAAGGTAATCCATCATGCTCCATATCTCCAGAAATTGCCTCTGAAACTCGGCCAAGATCATCACAATATCTCGCCAAGCCCGCATCTCTTTGAAGCGTTCAAAAACAGAGCACAACCCGGTGACCCATCCAACAACCGTGTCTTGCTTGTTTTCTCGGAATAGCTTGTAGGAGCCGACGCGCTTGTTAGACTGCTCGTACAGTCGAAATAGGTGATCACGGTGGGTGGACTTCAGCTTGCCAAAGACATGACCAGGAGATAGTGGCTCAAAATCGTCAGAAAAAGCTGGCGACCACCAAGCATACCACAGGTCAGTGCTAGGATCATGGAATTCGCGTCATGGAATGGTAAAACTCCAGGTGTAAGCATCTGCATACATTTGAGGCCACTGGAAAGGATCCATCGCCCAAAACTTCCCATCCGCCCTCACTTGCACAATATCGGAGGGATTGTCATATAGTTGGGGAACGAAAGTCATATTAGGCGAAGTGAAAATGAGTTGACCGTCATACAGTGGCTCAAAAAAGTGTCCCAATGTTTGTAGGTTTTCATGTAATTGTGTTATTGCGAGCCAGGGTGTGAGAATCCGACTAAGTCAAAGGGAGGTCCCAAAAAGCTCCGCTTCTCGGCTACAATTATGTCCCCTATAGCGTGAGAATCCATTGACGCCGTGCGAAGATATGGCTATTTTAATTAGGTGACTCATTGGGACACTTTTTTGAGTTTGAATCAATTATACATAATCTCTATAATTCTAGTACTTAGTGTTTCCTCCCCTGGCTCACAATAACACAATTACATGAAAACCTACAAACATTGGGACACTTTTTTGAGCCACTGTAGGTGAGAGAGCGTGTGTCTGTAGCTGTGATAGCATCTATATCAAAATTAGAGGAGGATCACAGGACAATCACCAAGGGCACTTACTGTCACTGTTGCGTAAGAATGGTTTAAATTCACGATGTATTGTCAGAGGCATCATCAGAGGGACTGCGAATAACGAAAAGGTGACTATCCGATGAGAGTGAGTAATCGAGCGACGAACAAATAAAGGCACGGTAAGTGCAAGCTAAGAGGAATCTGAACGTGATGAAGGGTACTGTAACCGAAGTTAGAGTAGCGAGTGCTATTGCACAGTAACACAAAGTCACTGGAATAGTGTTGTCTACTGCAAAGGCAGAATAATCGACACCGGCGATGGGAGGAGAAGGAAGAGTTGGAAAGAGCAAAGGAAAAGGTAAAGGGTAAAGAGTAAAGTTAGTAAAGGCGCAAAGTTGTGATTACGCCCTGGGATAACCCAAATGGGCTTGTGACAAATGAGAATTGTGAAGTGAGAATTTGTTGGAACATTCGCCAACCTCAGCCAACTACGCCACCTTCCTCCTCTCTATTCCTGCACTCATCTATCCCTCGACTCCTCGTGAGCTGCCTTCACGGTAGCTAACACTATCTGAAGTGACTTCGTGTCACTTCAGATACACTACACACAGTCTGACTTTGTGTTAGTACTGTTACGACCACTCAATCTTCCACCGTCCTTCGATGTCCGGCTTACCATCTTGATTTGCTGTGACACCCTCATCAGTCTCTTAAGCTCCTACCTTTGCGATAGCAGATGTCGTTGGGTGCTAGTGTTGACGCTGTCTGGTAGCTAAGTCATAGTTTACTTTTCATCTTCCTGTACTTAACTCACTATTCCGTAATTGCTTTGGGTACTCTGCGCGCTACTTCAGGATGGCCTCGCCCGTTCCAAATGTGGTCTATGTGTCATATCTAGAGTATTGGAGTCTTCTGTCGAAGTTTGTTCGTCGTCCAGCTGACGATCTTATGCATATAGTACACCGTAGGCGCCCTGTTCCTACCTTTAAACACCGGGTATGCTCCAATTTTTCGCCATCAACTCTCTCTCACTCAGTCATTCTCACTACAGTATTTTCCTTCTCGTCTTGAGAATTTGCGTGAAAACTGAGGTAGGTCTGAATTTCTCCATCATGTTGTCTGTTGTTCTAACTTACTCCTACATCAGCTTTTACTTGAATTCGCTGTTTGCGAGACTTCGTGTCTTGGCTGCTGAAAAGGACTTCATGTTCTTCAAGCTCCTTGCTGTCAATATTTGAGGACTTCGTGTTCTTCAAGCTGCTTTCTGTTGTATTCATGTTCATAGATCTCTTTAGTCAATTTGTCAAGCTCCCTCTGCCATGCCTCCCAAAGAATCATCTTCCACCAAAAAGTGCGCTAACCCGCGGATGGAAACTCCTGTCATCAACTTCGTGATGCATACCTGCAGTGGTGCGCCTATCAACCAATGCATGGTACATTTATTTTTATTTTTATTTTATTTTATCACAAGACATTGATATTCGTCTTTGAAAGCTTCAGACTAAGACACTACCACCCACCAAAAAAATCAAACCTACCCCCTTTGCCGAGGGGGAACTTGTTCATGAGCTTCAACGACTACAGCGCCATCCTTGCCCGGCACGCGAAATCCTCCGTTGCTACCACAGAGCCACGCACTGACACTGAGTCTGATACCCAAGGTATGGGTGGCCATTCTACAAATCGAGTAACCACCCACTGACACGACTATTACAAAGACCACCCGAAGACTGATGACCTTGTCACGGACGATGAGGACAACAGTGAAGGACAAGCGGATGCTCACGAGGGCGATCCCAAAATTCATGGTATGTACCACCGTCTTCTATCAATCATTTTTCACTAACAGACCTTGTTTTGTCTCCCAGAATCCTTACCCCCCTCTGATACTCCAGAGGATGAAAATTCTTCCTTGGATGGCGCCCCTTCCTCAGAGAACAACTACCCGTACCGAAATCAAGAAGCGAGGAGACAGGCTGAACACTGTGCAATGCTTGCTCAGCGTGATCCTTCCTCTTCGGAAGAGGAGTCTGATGAAGATGATGATGAATACAAAGAAGATCAAGAAGCCGACGAAGAAAAAGAAGAAGCCGACGACAACGACGACAATGACTTACCTGCGCCTCCATCAAAGACAAAATTGCCCCAGAAGTGCGCACCTCCAAAAGCTCTCCCCCCAAAATCCACAGTAACAGGGACTCCCCCATCCACCCAGGTACTCCAGGCTGCTGCGCATGTGACGATGAAGTCGGTCGAGAAGAGTCCCATCTCCAGTGCTCTGCCAAAAAGCTCCATGGCAATGGAGACTGATGATGACGACAATGACCCTCCCGTCACTTCTAGACCTGGGCGGCTGTGCCAGGAAGGCATAGACGACACGCAGGAGCTCGGGCGCAAGACACTTCACGCTGCCAAGTTAATTGGTGACAAATATGGAAAATCTGCACGCACAATACTCATCGAGGCCAGGTTGTCTGTGAAACACTCCAGGGCCGAGACCCCATGGAATATGCACCAAGGATGGTACAAAGGAAAATATCCTCGAGAAACTGATGAAGGTGAATATTTATTTCATGTTGTGGTGCCCATACTGACCAATATCCTCTGGTAGAACTTAGTGATTGGAGAAAGAGACAGCGCGACCACTACTACAACCTTGAAGACAGCGACCCGCTGTGGGATGACATACAAGCGCACTATGATGGTCACTTGGGCAGTGCTAGTAACAATCGATCGCGTGCCAGTATTGTTATGTCTACAAGGGACGCACTCGCTAAGCATGTAAGTATTTTGACAGTACTTGTTTGTATTATGGCTTACTGTCGCAAAGTTTGCAGCTTATTCTCACTTAGAAGGCATTGAGGTCATTGGCTGTGTCTTTGATTCGACTCCTGATGAGGTGGCCCGACAGGCCTTGGGTTTTGTCGCAGGCTCATCCACCTTCATGGATGTCATCAATGAACGCCAAGTGGACGCCCAACTTGCGTTAGATTGGATTATTACTGCAGCAAAGTATGTGGCTTGGAACTACTCTAAGTTTAATCTTACAATGTGTCCAGGGCAAAAAACTACCAGCTCGCAATGCTGCAGTTTGGGGGGGCATAAGATATTTTGTTTTCGAAGCCTGGTGAAGCCCCATGGGACCGTTACCGACGTATCTGGCCGGTCATGGTACTGGAGAAACTAGGTAAGCTCGACTTATTCCCATCCATGACTTGATTTTAATTCAATTCAACACAACAATTCGGCTACAAAACGAAGTCTGTCCAGTGGCGGAAGTTACTCGACGTTGCATACCAGAACAAGTTTCAATTCGAACTCTGGCCTGACAAAGTTCCCCCAGTTGGCCCAGACTTCAACTACCACACCCTCAGCGCACAACATCTGAAGTTACTCGTCGTGCCTTACATCAAGCGTAGGGCTTTGCAATATTATGACACTGAACTGAAGACTGAAGCTGAGAACTTACTCGAACTTCGGTGCAAGCAAGGACGGAGCAAAAAAACTCTTGATGATATCATTGACGAGTTGGATGTCGCTGTGTCTGAGATTGATATTGTTCCTTGGCCCAAAGGTACTTATTGCCCTGTTCATTTTTATGTCTAACGTTGTTGCTTCAGATCACATCGAGCAATGTGAAAAAGACGACCCTAAAATGTTTGATATTCCTTTGGTCACCAGCGCTTCCAATATCGTGCTCCGGAAACTCGCGGACTCCGAGAAATTCAAGCACTCCATCCCCCAAGGGTTGCTTCAAAAATACAAGGAAGCAACATCAGTATGTGGTTCGAATGTCGGTGTTCCTTCGGGAGGAAGGCAGCTTGGAGATACTACTCGGGATCGCCAGTCTCAACAACAGACCTCCGCTGCTCGTGAATATTCGATTGTTCGTGAGAACCACTACACTGATGATGGTCTGCCCCATCCAGAACGCTGCCCATCGGCATTTCAGCAACAGAAGTCTCGCAAGCGACCACATGCAGAGGATTATGGCAAGTCCATGAATTACTTGCAGATTCTCTTCTAATCGAGTGTCCAGCAGATGAACAACTTGCATCTGAGGCTGATAGCTTGAATGCATCAGACTCTCGCATCACGAAGAAGTCAAAGGTAAGCTGAAGACTGATATCTTCTATCATTATCTCATTCAAGTTAATTTTCAGGTCGTACGTCATCGTGATGGTGCGCCACATGTTGAATTGCCACCTCTGCACTTTGTCCCTGCTCATCCTCGACCCCAACTTCAATCTTGACCTCGCCCTCGCCCTCACCTTCGTGCACCTACACCTGACTACGAACCACATCAACACTGGGATGATGAGGTACAGCAGGTGTCTCCGCATCATCTTCATTCCTATGGGCATAATGTTGCCCATCATCATCGCCATGATTTTCTGGCTGCAGGCCCTTCAAGAGTGGTTGCAAGGGCATGTGAGAGATCCAATTATGACAGGAACACTCCGGCTCCTGGGTATGATTCATATGATCGTGATTTCGTTTACCGTGACTAATGTTTCATATCACTCGAACTATTGTGTATGTACTTGTGTATGATAGCTTGAATGACTATGTGTTTTGTGGTCCCAAACTGTGGTGCACAATGGGCACTCGAAAGATAATGTCAGCATCGAGGAGTTTTCATATGTGTAAATCTAGGCCATCATGGCTATCCCACTCAATAAATTAAGAATAATGAACTATCCCACTTATATATATATTGGGTTGCTGGGTCATACCAAGGATCAATTGATGGTGAGTGGGCTATCCCTGGTGGTATGTTGAAGCTATATATATGCAGTGGGCCAGCCCAGTGTCTATGTAATATGCGGTGGGCCATCCCAGGGCTCGTATTGGGCTGGCCCATACATATGTAAGGAGTGATGGGCTATCCCTAGTGGAATGTTGAAGATATATATATATGCAGTGGGCCAGCCCAGGGCTCGTATTGGGCTGACCCGTACTACATATGAATACCGATGGGCTACCCTGCTGTGTATAAGGGCTTGTATTGGGCTGACCCGTGCATATGAAATTAGTGATGGGCTATCCCACTGTGTATAATAGACTGTCCCTTGAATATTGAACAAGTAAGAAGCTAACCCATATCACACCTATCAGGCAGTTGGGTAAGAAGGGATAGTGGAGTACTAACATAAAAGTCCTGCACTTGGATATTGTATGAGGTTAGGCAACAAGAACAGGAGGGCTTGGTGATCTGGTCCGTGGAACAGGAGTGGTGATGGGTTGAAGCCCAAGGGCATTTAACGTATTGGGAGTTGTGCGTTCAAGATAAAGAATGTAGTTTCCATAGAGAATGGTCATGATGATGAGGAGGATGAGGACAACTAATAACCAGCGATTGATGAAATCATAGGTCAGGAAATCGAGAGATCGTTGGTGAACCATGGAATGTGCTGCTAAACTAGTGTCAGATTTGCAAGAGCAAGTCACCACTGGGAATATTACAATAAAAAATGAGTTAGTTAAAGTAGAGAGGCTTAGGAGTAAGTACTGACCCAGATGAGCAATCTAGTGAAATAGTAAAGAAAGGAGAGAGAACAATTGAAGGCCTAATACTGGATGAGGATGTTGCAAAATAGAATGTAGAAGAAAGAGAGAAGAAAAACTGTACAGAACTTTTATAGAATGTGGAAAAATAGTGACAAACAAGTAATAACATTTGGACTGGGCCAGCCCGCATCATGCATATGGGAGAGCCGGGTCAGCCCAGTCACTATATAAACCAGCGGTGGGCTAGCCCGCATCATGTGTAGGAGAGAGCCGGGTCAGCCCAGTCACCATATAAACCAGCGGTGGGCTAGTCCACATCATGCATAGGAGAGAGCCGGGTCAGCCCAGTCACCATATAAAACAGCGGTGGGCTAGCCCGCATCATGCATAGGAGAGTGCCGGGTCGGCCCAGTCACCATATAAACCAGCGGTGGGCTATCCCGCATTGACCAGTCACTGTCTTTTTCTTTCCGCTTTTATGCTTACATCCAAAGTAATATGTGATGACACTTACTCCAATAAAACCTGGAGTATTGTGGTGCAGGGTATGTTCCAATTGTGCAAATTAACCAGATGGAGTGTAAAATATGTCAGTATCTGGAGTGAGGGCACAGTCAAGAAGGATTTCTAGGTCAAGGACCTCACCCGACTTACATTCTTCCCTCATCTTCAAAGACAACCCCCCGTCTACCACAAATAGCACCTTACCTGACTTACATTCTTCCCTCATCTTCATAGACAACCCCCCCATCTACCACAAATTTATTCCCGCCTCCTCCAGCTGCTTTGAATTTCGTAGGTCAAGAACCTTACCCAACTTACATTCTTCCACATCTTCAAAGACAAGCCGCCCCCCCCCCCCCCCCCCCCCCCCTCACCACATATTTCTTTTCACTTCCTCCATTCGTAGGTCAAGGACCTTATGAAGACAAACATTATACTCTAAGTGTCTAAATGTGTGGGTAATTTTTCATGAGAAATGACCCCTGACACCCCCTGTGTATTCATATAATAAAGTATCTAGGATGACCCAGATGGGTCATGGGACAGATCAAATACATTGGCCCAGCAGGCCCAGGCTTCGTGGGGAAAGTGTTGAATTGGCCCAGGATATAACCTGCATTGCCTGGGAATACCACCTAAGATCATGCCTCTTAGGTGAGATTGTAAGCCAGAATATATGTACCTAAGAGGTACTTTAACAGGGGTGACTGAAGTGATTTCCACCTAGATAGCAACATTGGAGAGGTCCTAATGTTATCACGAATGAAATTCATCAGTCTCTCATACATTCTGTTAAAAGTAGCGTAACTGAAGTCAATTTGTTTGAACACACCAGTCGAGAACTCGTGCAGGCTGCAGCATGCAGCCGTTGCAGACAATGCCATGATATTGTCGAGACTACTGTCTGAATTAATGAATCTATCGTAGCCATCGCGAAAAGCAGCACACAATGCAATTTGAATAATTGTGTCGTGTTCAAATGAGAAGCGAAATTTTCGACCGTCATCTAGCTATCAATGAGCTTGTCATCCTCCAAACAATGGCACTCGCAAAATAGTACTACATACCATAACTGAATTGCCAAATATATAATTGAGACTGTCATCGCGAATCAGAAATGTGACAGTTGATTTAGTGTGGTTAATCTGGGCCGTCAAGTCGGTCCAAATCGATAGTTGGAGGCTGTATAGAATTTCAACAAGGTCTTGCACAGATTGCTTGAAGCGATTGAGTATTGTAGACATCGGCGTAATGATGGTCTTGTATAGTGCAGATAGATTTTCGTCAACCCAAAGTTTTCTCAAGCTATCTAATAGTTATCCCATTAGCACCTGATAGTACCCTAGTTGTAGCATGAAGAACTCACCTTTGGTGATAATGAGCGAACACGCATCAGTAAGTGCACGTCCTACGACAGTCGTTTGACTAGACAAATCGTGGAAAGCACACTTATTTAGTGTTTCTACAACTACATAGTTCTTAGCATCCTTCACAACGGTTTTTGAGTCCTGTTCATTGACCAAAGGTCCCACAGTAGCACATGTAGCTCTTGCGACAGTCGATGATGCAGAGGGGGGAGTGGTGGTAGCAAGTGGCGTTGGCTCTGGATCTGACATGAGCAACTCCCTTGGGGGTCTAACAGGTGGAAGCTTGTATCGTCGTGTGGTAGACTTTTGTACTCCCATAGTCTCGTCTCTCTAATATATGATTAACTACAACCCAGACTTATATAAAACAAGACTTACGAAAACAACACCATCGGTATATTCTTGATGAGATTTTTCCGCACCACAAAGAGGCAAGTACGTGTATTCCATACAATATTGAGATGCAACGTCACCTGCAGGTGCAAATGACCGTTGAACTCGATCAGGCCCCGCAGTGTGGGGGGCCATCCCAATAAAACGGGATGCCCTTGGTAAAGGGATGTTGCCCTGGAAATTGGGCGGAATAGAGGTGTAGTTATCATTCGAGAAAGTGGGGGGAGGATAGATGTGAGGGGGTAGTTCAGGTGTGTTCATCGACTCTGGTATCTCCGATGCACAGCCAAGCTAGTTTGCCGATGACTGACCTGTGACGTTAAGTCCTGGTTGTCGAACAATGGGAACATCCTGTTATATGAGTCAGTACACTACTAGTAACAGAGACATTCCAGGGTACTCACCCGCACAACTCTTCGATGAGCTCTAGGGGGCGCATTTTGGCTTGCAGACATCACGGTCAAGTGCAGGTACAATGATCAATCGATAATCAGTGTGTGTAAGAACATCTTCGTAAGGCAAAAAAAAAAAGGTTCACAACGTGCTACATTCAATGGTAATTGTAGTTATACAAACTACAAATAAAGATGTCAACACGCTAAATGGACAAACGTAGGAAAACAAGTTTGCTTAAATACCACCTTGCAATATCCAATCACATCTTGCATGCTACACTTTACCAATAAATAGGTGCGTGACTGCCATATAAAAGAATGAAGCTCACCTTCATATTGGTTAATAAAAATAGACCTCCACTCTGATTCACTTCAGTCCTGATGCCAGCTCATCCTCGTGGCAATCTCCGACAAATGCAAAATCGCAAGGACCTCCGATGGAGTGTGTGTCAGCAGTGTTGAGGTCTGAAGCTGGAACATCCGAAGGAAGGAATACTGTGATGTACCGCCAAATGAATCAGTACCGTCAAATGAATCATTTCATGCATAACAATAACACAACACAACCTTATGACTAGTAAAGCACTATTATCTACTCCCACATATATGTACTATCACCTGCATGAATTTTGACTAACTTTGAACGAGAAAAAATTATGACATGTCGCAATTACCACTGATGACACACCCTATTTTGGGCAATCTGAAAATTGTACCTTAAAGTATGCATCATCAACATTCAAAAACTCTTCGAAGATAGCTGGAATACATAGGAGTACCTTCTAGGTATCTAATACATTAAGATTTATTGTGATTCATGAAGTGTAGCAACTCTGGCAAGTGAAATGGTTGGGGAATATATATGTGCCTCGGCACCTGTAACTCAGGGTCCACAAAAACACACCACATTGCTCTGCCTATGTTCGTACAACTTATTTTCATCCCAAGTTTACCTTTATAACTCTTAAGCATGCCTGGACGTGCCAAATCTGCGACACAAAAAAGGCGGGAAGCCCGTGAGGCACATGACTACCTTATGTCGCGTGCTGTCGAAGCTTACCACACGGAGCTTGCAAAACCACCTGGTGTTCAACGTCGTGGAGCACGCACAATCTGCCATGACTTTGAGAAAATGAATCTCGAATCAACGGGCAAGTTGATTAAGCTATCTTTCTCCACACTAAGCCGTCTTGCAGCTGGAGGGAACTCATTGGCCAAAGCCAGGGCAGCTGAAACCTGGCTCACCACTGAGGAGACAGAGCTGGTTATTGCATATATTGAAGAACTCGGAAATTGTGGTTTCCCACTTAGTCACAAGCGGCTACGAGAACATGTCAATGAAATCTGTACTACTAGACTTGGAGAAGGATTCCGAGGTGTTGGACAGCAGTGGATAGGCCGTTTTGTCGAAAGACATGCAGGCCGTCTCAAAACATCATGGTCTTCCCCATTGGACTCCAAACGTGGACATGCAGTTAACCCAAACACAAACAAGGCTTTTTTTGACCTGTATGAAGATGTGCTTGAGAAGTACAGTATCAACGAAGATTGTCTGTATGGTGCTGATGAAATTGGCATCTCACAACAATCAGGTGATCATGAGCGCGTTATTGGTGCTAGACGACCTGGTCCACAATATCAGCAGCGCACGGGATCACGTGAGAATACAACTGTGATTGTTACCATCTGCGCTGATGGTACTGCTGAGCCTCCTGCTGTGATTTTCCAGGGTGCTGCATATCAGATGAAATGGAAACAGGATAACCCTGCGAATGCATTGTAAGTCAGTCTTCCATCAGACAAGTCCAGATAACTTACATCACAATAGTCTAGGATACTCGAAAAAAGGCTGGACAGATGGTGAGATTGGAGTTGAGTGGATAAAGGAGTTTGACAAGCGCACCAAAGCCAAGGCCAATGGACGTGACCGCCTCCTTCTTGTAGACGGACATAATTCGCACTATACAAGAGGGTTCCTGCAATATGCACGTAAAAATCGCATTCATGTCCTGTGCTATCCTGCACACACAACTCACGTCTATCAAGGCCTCGATGTTGTTGTGTTTGCAGTCTTGAAAAGATGCTGGACTGAGGAGAGGGACAAGTGGGAGAGGGAGAAGGGAGAAGGAATCACGAAGGCAAATTTCCTCACCATATATGGGCATGCTCACTTGTGTGCGCTCACACTGAACCTTATTCACTCTGCGTTCCGCAAAACAGGTGTTTGGCCATTAAACCGCGATGTCATTACAAACGACATGATGGCACCAAGCAAAGAGAGCTCTACCAAATCACATCTTCCCATCACCCCATCTACACCTGTGAGAGTCCTCGCTGACACCCTTCAAAAATGACATCCCAAGAGAACACTAGCAGTGCCGAACCAGCAAACACACCATCTTCCATGCACGATGACCTCGAGACTATAATCAAGAAGCTTGCTGAAACATCGCTGTCAGGACTTGTCTGTTCAGCAGTGCTGACGTCGAACACTGACCTGCAACATAACACAACGCACCTTATCTCTCCCATCAAAAAATCATGCGCACCTGTTGCCAGCATCGTTCCGAAAACCGCAAATGAAATATTGTTGCTGGCCACCCTTCGTGAAACCGAGGCAGCTAATGCAGCCTTGAAGTAACGTGTTATCGCACTGCAGGCCTCAAATATTTTGAATGAGATGTACTGTTCCAAACTTCGAAGTCAGCTTGCCAATCAGGAGTCGAAGAAGCGTGGAGGGAAAGATAGTGGAAAGATTCTTGGAGACAGCTTACCACGGTTGTTATCGGGGGATGAGTTTTATGAGCGGGTTGTTGAGTTCGAAGAAGCTCAGAAGAGAGCAGCAACCGAGAAGTGCACCCGAGTGGAAGAACACAAGAGAAGGGCAGAGACTTTGGCAGAGTGGAAGAAACTGGAGGATGCAAGAAAGGAGGAAAACAAGGCACGGCGGGATCATTATCACATGGCCATAGAGGTTTGGCAAGTCGAGAAGGCTCGTGCGTGAGCTGAAAAGCAGAAGTTTACGAAGAAGAAACCTGCTTTGGGCAAGTTAGTTGCTGCAATCCCGCGGCCGAAGGTCTGCTCACATGAAGAGGAGGGTGAAATGAGCGGAGAGGAGTTTGATCTTGATGACATTGATTCAGATTCGAGCACTGAATGTGGTGCAACGCACCTTGTCAACAGTCTCTGAGGATCTGATGTACGCACTTGGGTCTTCCCACAGGTGCAAAGGATGTAGCTCGTCATAGTTGTTGATGATTCCAGTGGAGTTTGGGGTGGGAATATATGTGGCAGGTGCGACAGTGGTATAATACACTATTGTTGATGGTTTGGGATGTTGGCATTCGGAGGAGATAACAAGATAGATGACGGTCAGTCGCACAGCGTAGTGTTTGATAAGGTTTACATACCTGACTCGTAGTAAACACGCACGTGATTTATTTGGCAGTATTTGCCACTCAGTGCACCTGTTCACTGTTTCTGCAACGCAGCATGAACAATGGTGGATTTTGAAGAAAAAACTTACAGAGATTGTCTGCATAAGTACGTTTGATGTCTTTGACATACTCAGGCAACGATACGAGAAGTTTTTGCCTGTTGTGAAACAAATTTGTAATGTTGTGATTCATTTGGCAGTACATCACAGTATATCAAGCTCATCGAGCTCATTATTCAACTGCTTGACCCTTGTCGCCTCTTCCTGTTGGATTGAAGTGATGGACTCCAGATCCTGAGAGGCACGCTCTGTGTCACGATCAGTCACCATACGTGCAAAGAGCACTGCCTCCTCAAATGCCTGAGTGGTTTGTTCCTCCTGCTCCTGTTGTTCAAAATTGATAAAATGTCTGAGCCTTGAGAGTTTCTCTGCCTCACAGGCCAAAGCCATTGAAAGATGCTGGTGATGCTCGAGCTCTGCTTCCTTGTAATAAGCAACACGGCGAATACCTTCAGACGACAACCACTGCAAGCCCTGAGAGAATATTTTGCAAGTCTAGAGACATGATGACATTTCACTTGAATTCAGAACATAAGATATAGTAACATACTGCATCATCGTCAAGGTCTGAATCAACATTGCCAGTCAATCTGCCCATTACCCTAGTCATCTTGCACTCAGCCTGCAGAGTGGGGGGGGTTTTCCGGACATAAGGGTGGTAGCTGGACAGTGAAATCTGTTTTGAATGACACATTCCACCCCGCCTGTTTGCAGTAGGTGGACTGACATCACCATGTCCGAAGTCATGGTACCTAAAGGAAGTGACAGATGCCGCTTAGATTCAAAATGAGTATTTTCTGGTATTTGAGACGATATAATGAGTACCTGGGGACGACAAGGCATGAAGGCTGCTGGGTGGAGAAGAGCTTTGGGGGCTATCATGGTAGACACGAGTGAAAGCTTTGGCATAATCGACCTTCTGGAGAATTGGACTAGACTTTCCGCTATGCAATGGACTGGTTGGTGGGGTTTCGCCATTCAATGAATTCAAGACCAGAGACTGTGGAGGATACATAGCTGATACTGTAAGTCTGGCAGTATGTTGGACAGCAAGCCCGATTGACGGTTGGAGTTTCAAGGACTTGGTGCTTTTTGAGTGTCATGCAAAGCATTGCGCTGGCAGTACCTCTAGTCACTGGCGTATCCTCAGCCCTACGATCCATACAACTCTGGTTTTCAGCGTGAGGAAGCCGACTCTGATTTTGGAGAGTTTACTGAAAAGTGAGTAGTATCATGTGGTAATACACGACTCACCGATATCTTTCTCCAGTTCACCCTTTGACATTGCTGTCGCCCTGTGTCCTAACTGCAAGAAACCATACCAATCGTCTGAGGAGGTCATAGAGCATCTTAATAGTGCAGACTCATGCTGGCCAGAGAACCTCACTAACGGATCACTACTGCCAGTACCGCAGGCTCTACAGCGACCACCAGAGCAGACAGACTTATCAGCAAAGTATCACCCCACCTCTGGCTACCATTACCTGCTTCCAGATCAACTGCCTCCACGAAATATCTTTCAGGAAATGCAAGGCCACCCTCTTCAACAAGCCAGAGAGACTAATGTATGGTACCCTTTTGATGGGCTGGGTGAATGGTCACTTGCAAAATTCCTTGTCAAAAATCTTTCCCAGACGCAGATCGACAAATTTCTCAAGTTAGACTGGGTATGTCTAATTATCATCAAGTAAATACTTGATTGACATTCTACTTCAGTTCCAGACAAGGGAACGGCCGCAATTCAAGTCGAAAGACGAGTTGTTCTTCTATATGCAGCAGCTTCCTGGCCGCAGGCCAAAATGGCAATGCACGAAACTTAAGCTCAAGGGCTACGAAAGTGAACAAGCAATTCACCTCATTTGGAGGGACACGTTGAAGGTTATGAAGCAGCTTTTCACAAACCCGGTTTATGTGAAACACATGTGCTATGACCCTCACTATATCTATCAAGGACAAGAACACCAATTTGGAGAATTCTGGACGTCAGATGATGCATGGAAGATTCAGGTAAGTAGTTGTGCTTTGGTTCAGATTTACTTGAGCGATTGACACTTGCACATAGGATCAACTACCAGAAGGAGCGACTATCGTTCCGATCGTCCTTGCCTCCGACAAAACTCCAGTCACAAGGCATATGGGTGGCCTTGAGATGCACCCATTATTTCTAACGATTGGAAATATCCAGGCCGATGTCCGCATGAAGGCTACGTTGCATGCGTGGCGATGTACTGTGTTCATGCCAACACCCACTTTTGTTGTCAACTCTGACTTTCAAACTCTACTCCATGCGCGTCTGTGGCATAAGTGCATGGATCTTGTCTGTTCTAATTTGAAGGTCGCGGCTCGTGTTGGTGAGTATATGGTTGATCCCTCAGCCAGAATGTGTTACTGTTTCACCCCTCTTCTCTTATCAACCATGTTGCTGATCTCCCCGAACAATTGATGATCACATGTGTTATGAAAAACTCATCTCCTGTCACCACAGTGACCCACAAAGAGTTTGGTGATGAGACACCACATCCTCCACGGAATGGATCGAATACCTACATGCTTATCCAGCAGCTTTGTAACCGTGTCGACCCATGGAATCTCATTGTATTCGTTAGAGAGGCCAAAAAACTTTATATTAGTGGGGTGCACTTGCCATACTGGAGAAACTGGAGGCACTCTAATCCTGCAAGATTCCTGACGCCAGAGATTCTTCACACGCTGCACAAGTTCTTTTTCGACCATGTTCTCAAATGGATCAAGCAGATCATGGGTCGCGAACTTGATGTATGGTTCAAGAGTCACCACAAACGCACTGGTATATGCCATTTCTCTGGGGGTGTCTCTCATGTCAACCAAATGACAGGATGGGAGCACCGAGACATTCAACGCACGATTGTGCCGACACTGTGGGGTGTGGCAAGTCCTGGCTTCATCTGCGCTGTGCGGGCAATGATTGACTTCATTTACCTTGCTCAAAATCCCCTTCATACTGAATCCAGCATCGCTTCCATGGCCCAGGCACTTCGGGACTTACATAATAATAAGCAGGCTATCCTTGACGCAGAGGCATGACAGGGAAAGGGTGGTGCTAAGGACGACTTCTTCATTCCGAAACTCGAACTCATGCAAAGTTTCACTCGTGCAATCTTCCATGTTGGTTCACTCATGCAGTGGACAGCAGACGTTTCAGAACATCTTTTGATAACGCACTGCAAACACCCATTTGAACGCACAAGTCGTCAGCAAGACTTCGTCTCACAGATCGCTCGCATCCTCGATCGCGAGGAGGCTATCCGGCTGTTTGATCTTTATACGCTGCTATCCTCGTCCTCATCTATGCCTGGCCAGGACCCTCTCATCAATGCCGTCATCATGGAGGATGAAGAGATCGCTAGCACGGAGATGGATCCCACTCTTGCTTGGGTCTCCAATGCAAACCAAGCCGCCCAGCTACATCTACAAGCACCGCACCCTGTTCGTAATCACTTCTTAAAGGGTATTTTATCGGACAATGCATGTATCGCCTTTAATGTCACTGTGAAAGCAGATTGCAGCCGTCTCAGTGTGTCTCAGCTGCAGTCATCATACAATCTCCCTGATTTTGCACACACTTTACACCTCTACGCAACCCGCAATGGCTGTACACTCTCTGACCACCTATCATTCAATATGTGGTCCAAATTTCGGATTCAGTTATATTCCACGTTTCACACTTGCAGAATCATGCCGAGTCAGCAAATTCATGCCGAGCCACCTTCCGCTAATTTTCCTAGAGGGAACTGCAATGCCGTGTTATTTAACCAGACGGGCGATGGTGGTAATGATGGTGCATATTGCTAAATTGACTGGTGATGACACTCCCTGACACTTGATATCGCTCTGCAGGGTCTTATGTTGCTCAAGTACGAGCCATATTCCAACCAACCGTCCCCAGAGGTTCCTGTGTGCAGCTTCCTGAGCGTTTGTCTCAGGTGCTCGTATATATTCAACACTTTGACTTCATCGTGCCTGGCCCTGAACCATCTACGGGCATGTGGATGGTCAGATGGTCTTATACTCGACTCTCTTCGCAGTCGGACAGGGTGATCAGATGCGGGTCCATAATCGCTCTCACAGACATCACGCATGCAGTGGAAATTATACCCGTCTATCAAGGACCATTGGGCAAGGACGTGAATTCTGGGAACTCGCTGGAGGTGTTTGATGACTATTTCTTGAACAATTTTGCAGACAAAGAGCTGTACCATTCGCTATCGGTAATCTCAGACAATTAGTAGACAGCTTGATATTCATGTAGTGCAGTTATCAATCTCAATCTGATCATATCATAAGTCTAGTACAATCTATCTTTTGATCTTGGCCTGATAATCGCAAGATTTTCGCGCACCGCATCTCCGAGAGTCATAAACACCAAAAAGAGTATCGTGTGGAAGGTGTACGAGAGTGTCCCTGGACTATCCCAAAAGCATCGCTCTGAAGTGTCTCTCAAGACGAGTCCAAACATAGATGAAGCTGCATCTAAAAATTGGACTTAGTGAAAATGTTGTCTAAAACGCTTGCGAGAGTTACCGTTTTGGTTAGCACAAAATTTAGTTCGTAAATGCCTGGTTTTGGTTATGTTTGAACCCTGAGTACATTTAGATGCGAGATCTAAGGTTTATCGACGCGACATAAGATTATCAGTCATACTAGTAGTAGTAGAGATGCATATTTACGAGCGCGCTTGTGAGGGTCCAACTACCAACATGTACCGTAAAAAGTCGTCGAATTCTACTCGCTCGTCCCCAGTGAGGTTGTTGATGGCGGCTAGAATAGAAAGGAATTTACGATTGACAACCATCCCCCCGAAAGACTCAACCTTCAACTCATCCTCAAACTGCTCGTCTAGGCCGCAGAACGTCGCTGCGCCGGTGAGCGCCCAGATCACCTTCAAATGTTTGAGCTGTTCTTCTTCCATCTCGCTGAGAAACTCGTGGCGTAAGTGAGACCAAGTGAAGCAGATCACATTGGCCATGATGAAGAAGTTTTGAAACTTCACCTTGATTTCGACGCATCCATTCTGAAAAAAAAGATGGGTTAGGCTATCCGCAAACGAGAACGAAAACTCACTTGGTCAAAAGTGTAGATATGCATGAAAACGAGTCTGTCCGCATCACGCGTGATCTTTTCGATCATGTGTTTGTGAAAGATGACAGCAGGCGCGTTACTGTACTGCGGAGGGAAAAGTCTGTATGCGTGTAAGACGCTGTCCCGCATGAATTTGATGAGCTTCCCGCGCGTGGATGACAGCGCATTTGCTACTTCTTTGCGATGTTTGTTAGTAATGAATTCCTGAAATGTCGCTAATAAAGGGTCAGCATGATGCTAACGATCATTGAGATAAAAACTTACTGTTAGGTCCAAAACAACGTGGGACAGAGTCCTGGATGACTCGATTCAGCATTATCTTCTTGGCGGCTTTGTTGATCGCCATCGCTTGCTCCTCGAATAGCTCGTGTGTGACCAGCCACGTTGCCATTTTCATGGTCTGGCCGATGATGTTGTCTGTTAGTTGGATGAGGTCAGACATTGAGGACATCATAGGTTGCGAGGTGGAGGCTGAGGCTGAGGCTGAGACTGAGACTGAGGCTGAGGCTGTGGGAGCGGATTCGGAAGCACCTTGTGGGCGCATGGCTGGGTAGGGGATCAAGCGTGGCGTAGGTGGCATAGCTCGTTGTTGGCCTCACTGCTTTGGCTCCCTTGCCAGGCCTGCCCGTCTGAATAATAAAAATTAGCGTGAAATTGATTGAAGAAAAACAAACTTACTTACATGCATCACATCCATGCGTGGAATGTCGCCTTGTTGTATGGGCATCGCATCAGTTGCACTTGTGCCGGTGGCAGTGCCTTGAGAGGATTCTTGAGGTGGGTAAGCGCCCTGGGAGGGCGCTTCCATGGACACAGTATTGTAAGAGGGGCCTGCCGTCTGATTGTGGTAGGAGCCGTGAGATAGGTAGTTGAAGGAAGCGCCCTCCCAGGGCGCTTCCATGGACGCAGTGTCGTAAAATTGAGGGTTGGAGTTGTAAGGGGGGTGATCATCATCAAAGTCGGTGCCGGCGTGCTCCAAAGACGAAGTGTCATAGGAATGGCCATAAGATAAGCGACTATCGGTGTTGGCGCCCTGCATGCTCCAGCTATGCAGGGCTGCAGAATGATGAGCGATCAGTCAATGAAAGTGTGATGAGTCGGACTTACAGCTGCTACTTGGCATTGGGGTGGGAAGTGCGCTATCGTCGTTACTGCCCTGCCAACCTCCAGGGGCCGCATGGGCGTCGAAGTTGAAAGAGGACATCTGTGGCTGTTCAGTGGGGATATAGAGTTGGTCAGTTGCCGGTTCGCCCGATGGATTGAGGCCAGAACCTCGCGGTGGCTTCGGGACTTTGGCCTTAGTTTTTTGCTGTCGCTGAGAGTTACGCTCACTAGGCATTCAAGGGTGGAGGGGATGTGAGAGCGCACGCATGCATTTAAACTGTGAGTTGATGTAATAGTACATAGGGGGGAAAGAGACACAGACTTTACACGATCTTTACAAACTGGGAACACATGGGGGGCTGATAAGGTGATTTACAAACAAAGCAAGGTGATTTACTAACGAAGTGTAAAAAGAGGGGAGGGGCGTGTCCGATAAGGTGATTTATGAATGGCAGGAAGACATATATGAACAGCCGGGGCGGGCGAAGCACATTATTGAACGGTCAAAGCAAGGCAGTACCAGTTGATAACAATCTATGAACACGATGACTGAATTGATAATGATCAGTGTGAGTGTTGTGAATGGCTTGGTGGTCACATACCATTGATGGTCACAATTACATGCTGCATCAGTCCTGCTGGCTGGGCTGCCCGACTGAAGCATCATCTTTGCCGGAATCCGTATCGGTGTCGGTATTGGTGATGACACCGGCCTCCGTACAACCACCCCCCAGTGCACGTGTGATACTGTCCTTATTTTTCAGAGTACCAACAAAACGAGGGAGGTAGGTAGTTTCGCCGGTAGATGCTAATAATTCACATCTGGCACTGGAGCCCAGGTGGTTTGAGATTATCTCTGCTTGGGCGGTGATGGCACGAAGTATCTCGCATTCATCATTGTAGATGGCTTGATTGTAATTCATATAATCATTGATTTCCATGCGGTCACGCTCGGAAAAAATGTTCCTAATCTTCTTCAGCTGTTCGTCCTTCAAAATAAGCCGGGTTTTGTTCTCCTGGTGAAGCGCCTGATTGAATGCACTCATGCGCTCTGAGGCTTCAACCTGCCATAACAATGTGGCTACTTCATGGCAAGCAGCCTCACAACCAGCAAGTACTGCCTTGAACGCTTTGTACAATGTACCAAAGCTCATCTGTGAGAGGCCACTGTATATTGCATCCTCGTGCTTTTGAACATAGACTATGTGAGAACCGGAGACACATACTACAGTGACCTATCTCCGTATAATACGAGGGAACGGACGTGCATAATATCCCGTATGATACGGGCCAGCGGACCATGGGCCCATGATAAAAATATTCTCGACTATGACAGATGGGCTGGGAGGCAAATTATTCCCGATGGAGGCGGGTGGGCCCATGCAGGGAATATATAGAGTAGATGAGTGGGCTGATGTACATGAATATTAGGTAGACGGGTGGGCCGAGGTAGCTGGATATTATGCAGATGGGTGTATTAAGGTAGATGTGTATGAGATAGATGGGTAGGTACTTGTTATCACATTCACGGGTGGGCCCAGACACATATTAAATTAGATGGGTGGGCCGAGGGTATTATAAAATATTGTATTATACGGGTGGGCCCAGACACATATTAATTAGACCGGTGGGCCGAGGGTGTTGTATGGGATGTTGTATTAGATGGGTGGGCCGAGGGTGGTATACAATATAGATGGGTGGGCCCATGTGTATCATAATTGTAGACATGATGGAGCTGAGGTAGTTGTACATCAACCAAATCAGAGGAGGTAATAAATCAAAGTTACCAAGTTCCCGGAGCATCAGGTGATCTCCTGACATGGCAGTGTGAAGCTTGTGTTGCCCAACGAGACGCCAAGTTCTGGCCACCAGAATTTGAGTCAACTGTACCGAGTTCCGAGTTCCTGGACCCGGAACTCACCACATAAGTTGGTTAATACTTTTTGATGGTGCACAGGTTGTCTTGCAGAATGTGGAATCCGGGGTGCGAAGCTTGTGTTGCCCTACAAGAAGCCAAGTTCCGACCACCAGAATTGGAGTCAACTGTACTGAGTTCCGAGTTCTGAGTTCCGGGACCCGGAACTCAACACATAATTTAGTTA